ATGCGTTGAAGAGAGAATATAAGCTATAAGCTAGAGCCATGAAATTTGGTATCCCCTTTAAAAGGTGTCTTATAAAATGTCAAGATACGTCCAGATACGCCTAGCTGTAGCTCTTATAACAGAAACGGCATAAGATTCGAGTGACTTGAAAGCGACTCGGGTAGATAACCCAAGGAGAAAACTATATATTGCATATGTAGATTTATGCCTTCTTCTATATCTTCTTCTATATCCTTACTGTTAAGCTTTTCTACTAATCTATATCATATTTATATAAAATTGTGTTTTTTTCCTTTAAAAGTAGCCACTGCTATTTTCATGAACAACGATTTATTATTCATTTTTCTACTTGAAGCTTGTAACAAAAAATAATACCAAAATTTATATGAAATGTGTTAATCTTAAAATTCACTTAAAAATTGATTTTAAAATATTATTCTTATCACTAGATTTTGTTGTAGTAGTTGCACTACTATTTTTACGAACAAAGCTTTATGTGCTCCTTGAAAGCGCGGAAAAGCTTTGGCTTGCAAAGTTTTGAGAATAGAGCTTTTGATTTGAAAGCTTAGCAACTGCAAATGGTGGCCTTAAAACTTTATCAACCAGAGTTCGATGAAAGTTGTTATAAATGGAGCTGCCCTTGGGTCATATAAGAGGATGGGAATTTTTTTGATGTAGTGTCACCTGATATTTTGCTATATCTATTTATATAACTATCTATGCTGCAGTCAAACTGGTGCTCTTTGGTATACCCATTAAAAGTTGATAAGACAGGGTATATTCGCTAAGCTTTCGATATAGAAAACATTATGAAATTGTTGAGCTGAGTTGGAGGGTTGAGCTCCATCAACTCGTTGTCTGTCTGGCTGTGCTGCTTAAGGCTTAGTTTAAAATAAATTGAATCTGTCTTAATAATAAATATCGATAAACACCTTTAAGAGTACTGAGCAGAGAACTTGGCAGGGTATTTCTTAGTCGCTGTTACTGTTAATCTTTTTGAGATTGCAGCAAAGAAAAGTTTCTCACGGTCTCCAGCGTCAGCTGCTGCGGCAGCACTCTTTGGGGCAGTTCCACTTGCAACTGGATGGCAACGCTCTGCCCTGCTCCCCAGTCTCTGGCTGCGGCAAGTGGGTGGCCAGCCGAGGCAGCGAGCGAGCAGCGGGTTGCATCTGATAACATGTGTTCAGGCAATCTTCGTTTTTACTCTTCGCCTGCGATGATCTCGATGAGATTAACTTGAGACTAGAGTTGACAGATGAGCCTAATAATCATGCTAAGACCATCTCCATTCAAGAAATTCAAGAAATTTGTAAAAAAAGACCATTTCGATTCCTATAAGTGTTATCAATATATTTATATAGATATAGAAGTTTGTATATTGTAGAACTATTACAATAATATAATACAATATAATATGATAATATGACATGATATGTGTAGCAATATTATCCCTAGGCGGGGCACCCTGAACGCTGCTCATTATAGTGCTGCTGACAAGTTGTCAGATGTTGGGGGCCCCCGAGATCCCAGCACGAACTTTGGCAAATTGCTGCGAGGGAACCGTGAGAAATTGTGCCGTTGTGTCATGATATGTCGAGGATATATAAGAGGGTATATAGACATGCGTATAAGTGTATAGCGCGTATCGCATGTTGTCGGCTCGCCAATATGCCGAACAGCCGGTGACCGTGGCCCCCGCCGAGTGACGATTTCCTACCGAATATGGGCCAACGCGTTGGGCGCCACTGCGACGCCCCAGCGACGGCAATTGTCCAACAGATTTTTCGAGCAGTTTGTGGGTCAGTTGCAATTGCATTTACCGCTAGGCCAAAGTTTTCGACTCGAACAAAGCAAAGAGGAGAGAGGAGACAGTGGGAGAGAAGCCAAAAATAAGACTCAGACGGAAGTACGTAAATAGAACAAAAGCAATACACAAATTGATGAAAAGCTGAACGAGCAAAAGGCCAATTCATATCGATTAGCCGCACAGTTCCCAGAACGAAAGGCCCATGCAGGCCCTATCAAATCCGAGCAAGCAGTGAATATTTATATTACCCACTCGGCACTTGTTTGGTTTTCAAATGCAACGGGGGAGAGTTTCCACGCACTTCGAGAGTGGAGCGTACGTAGCCTTTGCTTTCCGGTTCAATTGTGGGAAATGTATGATCACCCACACATACATACACTCAGCTAATTGTCACCACCGAAAAACAAGTGAGAGCGATGCAGTAGGGAGTGCTCGACTAGAAAATACCCTGAAACTAACTCGATCACTGTGTGCTATGGCAGAAACTACGTGGGAAAGAGTCAAAGCTCTAGAGCATATAGACTTCGGCATTGATGAGCTGATGAACTAAAACTGATAGACGGTAAATTGAATAGATAAGGGAGAGCATTTATATATTTATATGAAAAAAATATAATTTATAGTATGGCCTACTACTCAGCATGTCCAGAACATCCTTTTTAACATCGCATTTACACACTTTCACTGAATACAGGGTATTCAAAAGAAAATGACAGCAAACCTCCGACCATTTGAAGGGGCCCAATTTGAAAATGCGACGCATGAAATGCACGAGTGAAATATTTAAATGACATTCGTAACAGACATCAGGCACTAATACTCGTGTAGAATGAACCACTAAATGAAATTCAAGTGCCGAGAGCTCACTTAACCCAGCCCAGCTCGGCACACACACATATCGCTCTCACATCCATTGGCATGGGGACAAGGAAGAACACTTTCTCTGCCTTTTAGACAGAGGGTCGCACATGCGCACTGGAAATTTGAATGTTCAGCTAATGTAAACTTAGCTCAAATTCAGGTATAAGCATTACTAATGATGATATACAGATCATAGCTCATTAGACTTGAGTTAAGGTCTTACCTCCAAGCTTACCAATATAATTGAGTCTGACTAGATATATGTTAAATGATAAAAATAGAATATGATTAAAAGAAAGAATTGTAAAAATATATCTATAAGATAAAATGTTCTTGATATATAAAGGATTCTCAATATATGAAGCTTGTTTTAAGATTGATATATCAAATCATACTTATATGCGAGTATTTAATCATCCCAGATTGAGGCATCTGTCGTTCCTTAGTTGACAAATTGATAAATTATATATGATAATATATATATATATATATATATATATAAATATATATATATATATATATATAAATATATATATATATATATATATATATATATTATCATATATAATTTATCAATTTGTCAACTCAATTTTATTTTCAATTTTTCTAAATAATACAAAAAAGTAACGTCTTACATAAATATCTTTGACTCATATATTGCATTTCGTGAATTGTAATTCAGTTCCACTGTGCAAAGCTTGAATTGCGATTCGCTCATTACACATTATTTAATTTGCTCGCTCAATGGCGACTCTATGGTTATGATTTACGCTGTGCCATGGACTAACGTCTATGAGGAATCGTCTTCTGCTTGGCGGCTCGCTTATCTGTCGTATTCCCAAGTACCTAAAAATAGACACAAATTGTAACGCACTTGAAGTGCACTTTGAAACATCTTGACGCTCAAATAAAAGAACAACAATAATACAAACAACAACAACAGCTACAAAATGGAATACAAAAAAAATTAAGACAAAAACATGCATTGGGGCACGACAGGCATGTGATAATATGGACATATATATAAATACGAGGAAGAGGAAGAGCACAGCACAGCAGAGCAGAGAAAAGATGGCAAGCGGCCGACCCGGCTGGACTAGTAAAAGGATAGGGCCACGGGCAGAGGCACGGGAACATACACATGGACAAGAAACGGCAACGGCAACGGTACTGCGACTGCGACTGCCAATGGAACATTCATGTGAATGTGGAGTTCAAGTGCATGGCATGACACAGACACGCAGCCCAGAACGAGGCTCTGTCTTTGTCTATTTCGCTGTTTCCCTTGCACTCCCTCTCTCTGTTGCTGTCGTTCCCTTTCGGTTGCTCCTTATAGCTGTGCGAGTGCGTCTGATGCAAAGTGTTTTTCCCAGGCGCTATTTTTAGAGTTGTATAAATACATATTCGTTTGATATGAAATATTATTAAAATGCATTGTCAAACAAATATCAATCTATGTTATATAAGTATCTATACATAAATTTGTAACATATGAGAAATATAATTTCTATTAAAAACTAGGCCATAATAAGTAAATAATACACTGAAATAAAAATACATAAAAGTTATGCTATTTACTGCACTCGACTGCACAACACACTATAATTAGTCAGCATACCGTTTAAATCAGTCGAAAGGTGTCTTTTAGTATATCACATTAGTTAACTGTTTAGCATAAGCCCTAAGCGAAACATCTTAATATAGAAGAATGAGAAGAGAGACTAACAGCTGGCATGACACTTTCTAAACTAGTCAAGGGAACCACAAAGTCGTTGTACCTTTTCGGTATGAAAGTGTATATCAGAAAAGGCGGGCTCAGCAGCGCAAGTGTCGACTTGGAATGGGCGCCAAAGATACGGACGAGAACAGTAACGGGACTACTCTCGCTGACAATGCAGCGAAAGTGTTATATGTGCGTGCCCCTCTTCCTCTCTCGCTTCCTCTCTCGACACATGCAGTGTGCTATTATTAGCTTTGTTCGGCTCGCCACATGTGTTGTTGCCAAAGGCATTGTAATGAGAAGAAAATAGTACTCCACTTGAGGCAATGGCTCATATGGCAAGTTGAAGTTTGGCGCGCACATATATATACACACACACACACGCAGTGAGTGAGTTATGTTTTATTTTTATTTGTAATTCTTTTTTTGGTATGCATTTTCCAAAAAACCCAGCAACAGTTCTCACACCCGCTGTCTCTCTTTGTTGCTCTCTCGTCGGCTCGTAGGAGTAGCAGTCGCTGCTCATATAAGAAGCTGAGAATGGCCGCAAATTTGGACAGTCTTTGGTAGCAGCTCGGCGCGAGTGAACCACGCACAACTGAGATCGAGAGAATGGGCGTCATATACAAGATACTAAAGCAGCAACGCCAGCAGCAGCAGGAGATGGTTGATCAGCAGCAGCAGCAGCAACAGCATCGACGCAGCCTCAGCATGGAGCTGAACACGGCGACCAAGTGCAAGGTGCAGGCGGCCATTAAACAGCGCCAGCTGCACCGCCTGGAGCAGCGCACACAGCAGGAGCACGATGAATCGCTGGCCGAGCAGCAGCTGCAGCAGCTCTGCCGATTTCTCGCCGAGAATGCGGCACGTAAAAAAGTGAGTCCACAAAGTGAGTCCAGCTGGCGTCACTAGCTAATCGCAACTCTTTGCCACCTTCAGCGTCAACGCCTTAAGCTCCAACAGGATCCAAGCAATCATGAATCCGCAACACATTCACTGGCTGGCACTCACGACATGGATCTGCTTATGGAGCAGCTGAGCACATATAGCGATGCCACGCCCTCGCCCTCACCCACGCCCTCGCCCGCGTCCACAAGCAACAGAGCAGTCACGTCGGCTGCACCACGCGTTAGCATCTTGCTGAAGATCCGCCATCAAATCTTCGAGCGCAAGCGTCAACGGCAGCGCCAGCTGGCGGAGCTGGTGAAGCAGCGCATGGTGGTCTGGCGACCATGGTAAAGCGCTACACGCACTGCCCAGTGTTAGTTGTAATCATCGATCACTGTATATTCCTCTGCCGTGTGATTCTTACGTCGATCTTCCATATTCTAACCACAACATTTTTTTATTAATATTTTTTTTTTAATTATCATAGTTAATAAAACGTTTTTTTTACTGTAAAAAATTAATCGAAAGGCTTTCATAGACCCGGGAGTTAAACGGCATTCTTCGGCTAATGGAAATTTATTGGGTTTATCTTGACTTAGTTGCAATTAATATTGATGTACATATTTAACTATTTAGAAAGCTTTGGAACTAGATCAGAGTTTTTTGTTCTCTTTTTAAATCGTGTTTGTTCGATTCTGAACTATTTGGAAAGAAAGAAATATTTTCTCAAATCTATTACTGAAAATATCGGTAATTGAAATTTTAATAATTTTTATATCTCGCTTTAAACAATACTACATATATTTGTATATATATAATTCTGTTCACTTTACCGATTTAGATAGTTCTAACTAAAAGTTGAAAGATTTGCCGAATTTTTTCGTCAAAATTGAGAAAATAATTATATGAAAGCCCTGTATACCATGATATATATCATATATAATATGCATTCAAAGAAATTTGAGTTTTAACATTAAAGAAAAAATTATTAAAAATTTTAAAGCTTTCCCTATTTTGTTAATGTTAGTTGTTTATTTGCGAGCTGTACAAGTTTAAAATATAATAAAACACAGAAATATATTTTGAATATAAATAAAAGAAAATTTATTTGATGGTTAGTTGTATGATATTAATTCCAACAAATCTTTTTTTAAATTTGACACTTCCAAGACGCAATCTGGAACACTAATGCCACAATAATCCCAATCATGACCAGCGTCATATGCAGCAATGTCTCCGCCCGCCCATAAGGCGCAGCAAAAACGCATTTCCTGCAGGTGTCATCGTGTTTTAACAAAGACTTTAAATTGGAATATTTCTGTTGATTGTCGTATTCCTTGGACCAAAGGACTTCGTCGTTCAGGCAATTTGATTTAATATATTTTGAATAACAAATTTAATAAGTTACAAGCGCTGTTCAGATGTTGATCTATCTATAATAAAATGTCAAGCCTAGCTCAATAAAAAACAACTATGAACTATTAACTAGGTTGTCAAATGAAGCAAAAAGACACCCATTATATGGATATTTTATTAAATTTTTGGTTCAATTTGAAAAAATCGCTGTAAAATAATTCCTGCAAGTAGACAATTTATAAGGTAATTCCAAACCATCGGGCATTCAATCAATCAAATTTAGTTAAAGACTTTTACATCTATCTGAATCTAAATTAAAATATTTCTGAAATTCTCAAAATATTTTACTCTCACTTTGTCTTTATTGGTTTCCATAATGGATCAATCAGATCGGTCAGTCAGTCAGTACGTCAATCATTATTCGCTTATCAATCAAGTAAATCCGTATCCGTACTTTGCAAGATGGGTATATTAGCACCTTAGCTGCCTTTTGCAATCTATGCCGAAATCTTGCAGCTTTATCTTCGCTCAGCGATCGCCTCTTGGGAGCTATTCGATTCATTCAAATATCAAACCTTGTTGGCCTGTGTAATCCAATGTTGCATTAAAACAAAGTATTGTGTTTTTTTTTTGGAGAATTGAATTAATTTATTGATAAATTTGCTATGCCGGCATTTGCTGAGTAAAACTTGATTTATTTGACATTCATATGGAACTCGAAGTGTAATATATTTCGTTAAAGTTTGCTTTATGTATGTTATTTATGGATATAATATATGTATTGAGTATTGAACATTGACACCAATTGAAACGGTTTAATTCACAATTATATTTTGATCTATATATCGTTTGGATAAATGAATATTTGCTATTAGCTACGACGCTGTCTGCTTAGGACGCTGTCTGCTCTGCATTTGACTCTATGTCTGTGTCTGTGTCTGTGACTATGTCTGTGAGACACAGACTGTGACTGTGTTTGTGTCTATAGCTTTGGCTGTGGCTGTGGCTGTGTCTGAGTTTGTGTCTATGGCTTTGGCTGTGTCTGTGTCTGTGACTGTGTCTGTGAGACACAGACTGTGACTGTGTTTGTGTCTATGGCTGTGTCTGTGTCTGTAACTGTGTCTGTAACTGTGTTTGTGTCGGTATCTGTGTCTTTGTCTTTGTCTGTGTCAGTGTCTGTGCATATGTGAGTGTATGTGTGCGTATATTTTTTAATATTTGTATTAGTTAATTCGATTGGATATTCATATTTAATTCGTTTTATTTTCTGTTTTTTCTGCTTCTTCCCTTAGCTTCCATTCCATTGGCTGCTTTCATTCTTTAAGTACTCACTTCGGTGCCTTGCCTATTTCATTCTCCTTCAATCTCTCAGCTTATATATGTAAGTATTTATTTTCAATATTTTTAATGTATATGTGTATATGTATATATATTTTTCTTTCTTTTAGTTTTTCAATTTGAGCTGCGCTCGCACACGAAACACACAAAAAAGTTGATTGATTAAAAAAAATTCCATTTAGACTTTGAATTTTCTGTTTTCCACGCTTTGATTTTCATATTTTTTGCTTGTTTCTATTTTTCTTCAATAAATACTGTTTTCTTTGACATTTATATAAATAGTTTTTGTATAGTATTTATACTCTTTCACGTGGCGTTTAGGGCATATTCGGCTCGTCTAGACTTAACTAAAAATTTGCGTTTATCATTCTAAAAATATGAAATAAAGTTTAACTTGTATTTGGTATACCAAATCGATATATATTATAGAGTTAGGTATATAAAATAGATCTATAATCTTGAGTTGGATATATAAAATAGATCTGTAATCTAGAGTTAGGCATACCAATAGATCTATATTCTGGAGTTAGGTATACCAAATAGATTTATAATCTCAAGTTAGGTATACCAAACAGATCTATAAAATAGAATTTGGCTTACCAAATAGATCTTTAATTTGGAGCTAGCTATACCAAATAGATCTATAATATATAGTTGGGCTTACCAAATAGATCTATAATATAGAGTTGGATATACCAAATAGATATACAATCTAGAGTTGGGTTTACCAAATAGATCTATAATCAAGAGTTAGGTATACCAAATAGATCTATAATCTAGAGTTGAGTGTACCAAATAGGTCTATAATCAAGAGTTAGGTATACGAAATATATCTATAATATAGAGATGGGTTTACCCAATAGCTCTATAATCGTGAGTTGCATATACCAAATAGCTCTATAATATAATGTCTGGAGTTAGGTATACCAAATAAATTTATAGTACGAAACGATCTATCAAATCGGAAAATAATTTCCAATTAATTGAATTTCGGACATGGATTTCAGTCGAATAACCAACGTTTTAGCCATTGTGAGCGAGCATCGTGCAGTCGGCTATGCCCGACAGCCATGTTCATTTGAAGTTTTTGTAGGTAGACAACATTTTGCACAGTTATTTGCTAGGTACACACATTTATTACTTTATGTTTGCTAAGTAGTGCTGCAAGTATCTGAAATTCCTACTCAAATGTTTCTGCTTAATGAAAATTTGTTGGCAACTTAGCTTAAGTCAGGATGCTCTGTGTGCCCCTTGGGAAAGTGTTCAAAGCGGGCCAAATGTGGTTAACAAACAGTTCGAGTTGGAGCTCTTAGTTGACAATTTTAGATGCATCCATCGATATTTTAATTTCAAAGCAGAGTGTTTCATGCTTTCAATATGACTAAAAGTAAATTAACTTATGGCAGGTAAGGCCTTGATCCGTAGTCTTAGCACACATAGGGGACAAGCTGGACTCAGGTCAATCCAAATTCTATCAACTAGACGTATGAATAACTTAGTATAAATATTAAAATTAGTTTAACAATCTATGAGTTCCAATTGAAACGCCTTTCGTCTGACGAATGTTCCAAATTAGATCGAAATCAAATTAAATCGAACGGAAATCCACTTGCACGCACTTAGACTACATTCAATAGATAAATATACGTATATATAAATATATTCACTCGTATGCACATACATATACATACAAGCATTGATGTATATATAAATACATCGGTTTACATAAATATCGTATGGAAATGGATTCGTATTGATCTCATTCAGTGATTTTCTTTTTTTTTCTTCTTTTTCTTCTTCATCGTGTTCTGCTGTTTTCCGAAACGTCTCTAAAACTAGACTTTATAACTGTATAGTAATACACATCTGCTTGGGGATTATTTCTTTAAATGCCATTTACTACGGTGACACACACAAAAATATTTAAACATTTTTTTTTAGATATTTTTTATGCTTTTTTTGATTTTTTTTTGATTTTTTTCTTTTTTTATGTTTAATGAATAACATCTAAATGCTTTGACGCTCCAATTAAATGCATTTTGATACTTTTTTTTTTGTTTTCTGTTAGCTAAGCTCTTCCGTTTGCTCTCGCCATATCTCATGGATCGCTAGCTGGCTTTGTGTCTGTCGACTTAGCTCAAATGCGCTTTATTCATTCACCTTTAATCTATTTCTCTGCTCTCATATATCTCTTTAAAATATCGCTTGTGGATTTCTTTAAAATATATCTTGTGGCTCGCTTTTTCTCATTGTCTTCAACTCAACGCATCTTGCGCTCTATGTCTAAATTCTTCCGCCCTTCTGTCTGTCCCCCCTTCTGTCGGTCTGTCTGTCTACCCTTCAGTCTATCTGTCTGTCTGTCTGTCTACCCAATTGTCTATCTTTCTCTTTTCGCTTCTTTAAGCTTCGACTTCATTGTGGCTCTCTCAGATCTCATTCAAAGTTTTCTCTATGAATCTCCTTTCCCAACCCTCTCAACCCCTTCGGCTTGGTTTATAATCTGTTCTCTCTCTGTTCTATCTTCTCTCTTGCTCTACTGTCGCTGTTTATCTTTTAGCGGCTAATGCCTTAAGCTTAGCTTAGTTTCTAAGCTCGTTCACCTTAGCTCCAAATTTATTTTATCCCTTAAAATCTTTAGTTCCTACTTCTGCGAACTGTCTTCTGTCTTCTTCCCTCTGAAACTGTTTGACTTCTTGGATCTCTTTTTTCGTTCTGCTCGTCTTGTTATCCCAGATCTCAGTTCTTGGAAACTGTCTTCTGTCGGCTCTCAACTACTAGGTTCGTACATCATATCATCTTTATAGTTGCCTTCTCTCAATCTCTGTCGTTTGTTTTTTGATTGGCTTCTGCTTTAAGCTCGGCTTAGTTTCTCGATTCGTTCACCTTATCTCCAAATTTGTTCGCTTTAAACTCCTCAATGTCTTCCTCAACTGCTTTACTCCCAACTTCTGTCTGTTTCTACTAACTCGACGGATCTCTCTTCACATCCGATCCTCTGCTCCTCCTCTAAATTCTTTGACTTGCAATTTTTTGACCTGTATCGAATATTCATATTCATATTGAAAAAAAATGTAGAGCTGCGTAAATTAATTAAGTTTTGCTTGGAAATTCACTGGCTACCATCAAAATTGAACAATACCAATAATTTGTCATGATAATATATTAGGGTGTTAGGGTGCTTGACCCTAGCATAAATAGGCTTATGGGGAAACTCAGTGATATAGTCACTGGAAACTTGATTCTGTTGCTGGATCTGTCTGGATTATAGTCGGGCTAAAGTCTATTCGTATGGATCAAAGAGATGAAAAGTTTTAGATACGTTGAGAGGGTTACGTATATTGCAAATAGTTGGGATATTCCGGTAGATGTTAGATGGGTAAATAGTAGGCTAGGTGATAATGTTGTAATCATAGGCAAATCGAGGCGATTTTGCGTTTTTAAGCCTCTTGCGGGCTGTCGTTCGATGCGGTGTGACGTGGTGACGGGAGAAGTGGGCTTGGTATGGTTATGGGCGTGGTTACTGGCGAGAGCGAGGGCGAGCATGTGAGCGAAGGCGAGCATGTGAGCGAGGGCGACGATACGGGCGAGGGCGATGAAGGAGGCAAGTGCGAGGGGGATGGGGATACGGCGGTCGAGGGTGAGGGCGAGGCTGGTGGCGAGGGCGAGGGCGAGGAGGTGTGCGTGGCAGTGCGTGTGGGCGAGGACACAGAGGATTGGGGAGTATTGGGCCGGGACTATAAGCTGCTGGAACGTCCAATGCCGGATGTGGTGGTGATGTGATGATTACGCATTTTCACCTTTTCGAATCGCACCATTGGAACACCCATGATGGCCTGTGTGGTCTGTGTGAATGGTCGGGCAAACTGGATTACAAACGGCTGCTGTTGCCGTTGCTGGCGGAGTGGCACTCACCTCATCCACCTGGTGGCATAGCTTGCCCTTTAGCCACGGCCACTTGAAGGTGCGCATCAGCGTGTTGCGGAAGTCCTCACTGAACAGGCAGTAGATGTAGAACGTCATCGAGTAGTTGATCAGCTCCAGCAGATTGGCGAGTGCCCGAAACACCTGAAACGGGAAGCTGGGCAGCACCTCCGAGGCAATCGTCATGTGCAATATGGCCATTGGCGAAACGCAGAGCAAGAACAGGATCGAGGTGCTGCCAAGCAGCAGGAATAGGCGTCGCTCCTCCGCAAACTTGCGCGGGTCATCGTCCTTCACATAGGTAGCGCGGCTCAGCACCATCTGGCGACGGCGCTCGCAGGTGCGACGATAGACGAGCATAATGCGCATATTGAGGCCGGCAATCAACACGGTCGGTATCAGCTTGAAGATCACCTCGAGCATTATCTTGTACACCGAATAGAAGATGCTGCGCTGATAGATGTTGTTGTCCCGCCGTAGATAGACGTACACGTTGTTCGTGGTCATCATGCACTTGATGAGCTCACCGCGGAAAATGCTCGGCAAGTAGATAATGAAGGTCGCACAGCAGGTGATAAAGACGACCATGCTGCAGCAAACAGCAAACGGCAAATGTTAGTCGGCGCTTACGGCGCTACCAACCCAACCCGGCCCACCCATACTCACCCTGGCGGACCCATCACGGGGCGCGTGAAACCCGGATGGCACACGGATACATAGCGCTCGATGGTCAGCACCAATAGCATCATGACACCAACGCCTGCAACAGATTATTTTTATATACAGTTACAATTTGTCGCACAGTAGTGAGACTCCTTCCGATAGCTGTAATTTAGCTCCTGTTTCTGGTATCGATAACACTCAGCTATTTAAGTGGCCGTCGACATCCTTAAGCTCAGCTATCAATTTAAAGCCACTCGGTCAAGACCTTGGTCTACGCTTTGGATGAGGTCGGGTCAAGGGATTCCTTCGAAATTGAAGCTTACGCTTCAAGCATTGTCAACAAACAGGAGGCGACTATTTGAATCAAGTTTCATCTCAAACTAAATGGCATAAATGTAGCTTTATAGCCAAGTTAAGAATAAATTTAGATTTCTAATCTCTTTTGCTTCATTGCAATTCGTTTTTTTTTTGCTTTTACTCTTCTTTGGTCAGCCTATAATTTGCAGTGTTATTAAGAAAGATATAGAAAATACTAGAAAAAAATAAGAAAATACTAAACTAGAACATACTAGAAAATAGTAGAAAATACTAGACTAAAAAATACTAAATACTAAAAATACTAAATAAATTATATACTAAAATACTAGAAAATGCAAGAAAATATAAGAAAATACAAAATAAAAGACAATAGAGCATAATAATAAATGTAAGAGATACTAGAAAATATAAGAAACTAATATTAAAAATACTGGAAATTATTAGTGAATATTAAAAAAATAATATACTAGACAATAAAAGAACAAAGTATAATAAAAAATACTCCAAAATTCAAGCAAATATTAGTAAATACTAACAAACCGGAAAATACTAGAAAATATTACAAAATAACAATAAATACTAAAAATTAACAAAACTACTAGAAGCTAAAAATACTAGAAAATACTAGAGAATAACACCGAATTGCTAAGCTCCAAAATTTTTTTTTTCTAAAATTTAGGTCTGTATAGATAAAGTACTATTATAAGATTTTTATATCATTTTTTTATATAAAAATAAAAGTCCATCTTTCGTTTTAAGTAAATAAATAAATAAATTAAACTTAAGTAAATAAGTGTATATATATTCTATAGCTCGTTGTAGGGTATCTGCTAGTCGCACACGCTTCAAAGATAATTGTTATCAATTTTATAATATTTACGTATTCCACTTTTATATTTCTGCTCAACACTCAAGTGCGACTCGACTCTTGGGGATGGGCTTTTTTTGCGTAATAGTTAGTCGAATGGTCACTTACCCAAACAACCGTTGCCGAGGAAAAGCTCCAAGTGAGCCGTGTAGAAGGCCGGGCCGAACTCCTCCCACTGACCGCGATCCTTGTGCACCAGCATGCGTATGCCAAAGGGTATGGCAAAGACAATGGCAAGCAGTGCGGCAGTCGAGTAGGCTGCGAACGAAACGGGAAGTGTGCAAAGCTCACATTATAGCAGTTTTATGGCTGAGTTTATGGCATAATTATGGCGCCGCTTCCGACAGTGGCGCGCCACAGGAAGCAACCGAAACACGAGACCAACCGACTTCAACGAGAATGAATGGCTTCGAGTTCCTGTTCCTCTCGTTGCGTACTCCTCCCCCCGCCTCCCTGTCTCTCTCTCTCTCTCTCTCACTCATTTCGTTAATTTAACGTTCCTCTTTTTTTATTTATTTATTTTTCTTGTGGAATAAATAATTTCTATATACCCTGAGCCCATTTAAAATGGGTAAGCGAGCTGGGATTGTTTTGGGTTAATGTATGTGACAGCCTGAGCAGGTCTTCAGCTCTGGCTTTACAAAAGATAAGTCAATTGCGTTTTAAGATGTCGAGCTTAGCTTATACTATGATATATCGATCTGAAGGCTTGACTCTAAGTCGATAACACTAAGAACTAGATATATGCATCATCGTTTCTTTAAGAGCTACAGACGTGAAATATATATTTTTACGTGAATCGTAAGAAAAGTAATATCCTGCGCTAATATCTATGGTATCGATAAATATCGATATTAAGTCCTTAATTTAATAAACTTGAAAGTCTCTAAGAATTATATATGCATAGTATAAATGTTTATAATTACCCTATAATTTCGATATGTATCGATTTATAGAATATGTATCGATTTTAGAAAATTAGTAAAGCTTTATGAAACATATTCAAAGATATTTAAACATTTTATTTTAATATGTATATACATACTACAGTTTGCTGTGCGCTTTTCTTTTATATCGATAAATATCGATAAATATGGATATTAAGCGTAGGCTTTTCAGTTTGATATAAAAAACACGGAAAATTAGATATATTTCATATTTGATATGTAATATATACTTTTGGGAGCTAGATAGATATTTGTGCTCAAATATAAATTTTTTTATATTATCCATAAATATCGATCTACAGCTTAAATTTTTTATATCAATTTGAACTAGTCTAAGAACTGGATATGTAAGATATGATATATATAATTGGGATTTCGATAGATATTTGATGACAATGTTATCGATATTTATATAGTACCGATAAATATCGATCCTTCGACTTGTTGTAAGCTATATGAACTAGATTAGTAGCTGGAAAATATTATGAAGCGTAGGCGTAAGAGCTAAACTACTCTCGTTTATCGATAAATATCGATCTGGAGATTCAGCACTTTGATGAGTATAGACAAGTTGTGCAGCTCGCATCGTAAGTTAGGGTATCTGCTAGTCGGACAGTGGCGACTAAGGCACAGTTAGTTGATTTGTTGGCCGCAGTTTTTGTTGTGATATGTAATTTCTACTTATGGCCGAAAGCAACTGTGTGTGAGTGCGTGTGCGTGTGCTAACGTTGTTTATTGATTTACGACTTGTTTATGGCCCTATAATTACATTATTACTTATATGCTCGACTCGTGTGGGTCCATTTGACCCGCTCTTCTCATGCCGCAAATTGCCGTGCACACAAAGCTTAATTCGGGATATATGACTTCCTGTGATGCAAACACACACACACACACACACACACACACACACACATCCTCTTGTTTTATATTGTTGTTCTAATTGGGTTGATGGCACATCAATATAAATGTCACTTTTGTGTGATGAGCTCTCGTCACATAAGCGCAACTTATACAAATCTGTTCATTTGGCAGCGCTGTCGAAGGCGACGTGAGTTGTTTGTAGTGTCTAAAGGATTGTCAGCTTAGTGCTAACGGCTCTTCACTCAAAGGCATCTCGAAATGGGGCAAGACGTTAAATATGTCAATGCTAAGCAGAGCGACGCAGCTCAGCCCCAATAATCTGACAGCTGCTGAATAATTTCGATTTGCGAGCGCCTCAACAGCTGCTCAATTATTTGCTTGAATATGCAAATCAATTAACGATGTGGAATCTAGCTTTATAGATTTAAAACGGGGTCCTGTGATGGGCGTGGCTTCGTGATCAAACAAGGTCAAGAGTTCAATGAGTATGTTTTGTCGATGACTGTGGCGCAGTTGTAGACGTGGAATAAAATAGATCGAGTTATATATTTATATATATTGGAAACTAGTATAGAAACTAGTAAGACTGGAAGCTTCACATGTAGATCCTAATACAGTACTTTTAGCTGTTCAAGTATAAACGATTTCAGCTTGAATATGTGTTAGAGCAGATTCAGAGTATTCACTAGTCGAGCACTCCCGATCACAGCTCGTTTACTTGTTATTGCTTCTTCCCTTCCCATTCTTCAACTCGTTCTCTTATCGACCTTGAGCAGTTCAAGTCTGTAGTACAAGTCCTTTCTCGTTCCGGGTATTCACTAGTCGAGCACGCCCGACTGCTTGTTATTGCTGAAAGCTTTGATATCTTTTGCTTTTGAATTGTTCAACTTCTCTTATTATTGCCTTTACAGTGGTAATTCAGGTAAGTAAGCCAAAGAGATCAAAATATATTATGTTGAGAGATACTTGCTCTCTTGATTACTCAATATATCTTGTGGCATATGCATATAATACTGAATGAATTGTTGATAGCTCTAATAGATGATTCTAATTATAAGTATATAGATTGGAAGCCCATTTAAAATCATATGTATCTAGTTCATGATAATAGGAATACGATTTAAAGGTCTAAAGCTGTCTTCACTGGTTTTTGGTGTGTGACAATGTTTTGCTTTTACTTTTCGTAAGTTGAGCGCTCCATTTTATGATAGAGTCGATAACTTTTCCGGATCTGTTCCCTTGTGGGTCATAAAGCAAGTGGCAAGGGTCAATCTCTTCACCTCCCTCTCACCCACTCTGCCCTCTCTTAAGGCCCAAGTGCATAACTTTCGTTTCGGCGCTTCCTTGACTAGGCCAGCGCCTATGTGTGGCAGTTTCAGAGGCTTCCCACACACACACACACGCACACTCGCACTCTCCCCAGCTTGATAGAGAAATACACATAAAGCAAGTCGGACAAATATACGAAGGCAATGACCGACAAATGGCAACGAAGCGCGTCGTAAAAAGGCTGCTGGCAGCAAAATATTTTTGTTATTTTAATAAAATGACTGCTCTGATTTCGGTCATTATTACTCGCAGGCCTTGGCAACAGCTCCCGCTCTCTGCCTCTGTCTCCTACACCCTCCCAGTCCAGCCAACTTGGCAACTGCACGGCGATTCAACTTATTTACTGCGAGCTGCCACTCGAGCTGAGTCTGGTGATATTTCAGGCAAAGGACCTCACTTTGCATTCATCCCAGCCTCGTCCAGGCCGGCGGCAGCCCGTCCGCTGCTTGACTAAGAAAAAACCTGTAAGTGGCAGCCATCTAGCATTTTCCGTTTTCCAGTTAACAGCCATCACCTATCAGCTAACAGCCACCGCATCTTCCGCCGCCCACACAACAGCCAAAAGGCAATCAATTATGTTGCCATCGCATGCGTCGTACATTTGAGGCGTTTTACATTTTACATTTTACATTTCACATTTTATGCTCGCATTTGCAGAGCTACCTGCCCCACCTGCCACACCTGCAGGCCACGCACTGTGCAACAAATCAGCTATTTGCTTTATCTCGAAGGCTTTTGGCTCGGATTGCAAAACAAGTTGAAGAAAATAGCTTTGTGGAAATACTATTAATTCCATTTGAGCTCGAGTTAATGGAACAGACAGAAACGGACGTGGCCTGGCCACAAAAATAAGTACATTTACGTCTCTTATATATGTATATTCTTGCGCAGTATTTGCAGTCCAGAGTGCTCAGCCCAATCTGTTTGTCTGTTCTGTCGGGGTGTTCTCCCTCAAAAAAAAGTATAATACCTAAATAAGGTCTCACATGTAGATCCTAATACAATACTTTTAGCAGTTCAAGTATTTTCGAAATCAGCTTGACTCTGTGTTAGTGCCGATTCAGGGTATTAACTAGTCGAGCACTCCCGACCACAGCTCGTTTGCTTGTTATTGCTTCTTCCCATGCTTCAACTCGTACTTTAAGCAGTTCAACTCTGTAGCACAAGTCTTTTCTGGTTCCGGGTATTTAGTAGTCGAGCAACCCCGACCGCAGTCAGTTAAGCAGCCGAAACGTAAAGATACTTGCGTTGCATTGTCAGTTAAATGCGTAAGCTCTCGCTTTAAATTGTGTCTAAAATTGAAAATGAGAGGAGAGAGCGCACAGACTCTTAATTGAATTATAAATTTCTTTTTTCTGCTTCTCCTCCTGTGTGCTGTGCTGAGTGTAATGTGAGCCGCTCGAGTCCTTGCCACACGCCGCATGACTGATTGCACGCCGGAATTGGCAACACGCTGCGCCCGTTGACATGCTTCATTTTTTGTCGGCCATCGCATTAATCAATTAGGCAGCCCAGGGCAAACGAGAGCCTCAGCTTAGCCAGTTACTTGCGAGCATTTAACAACTTGTCTAATACATTTCAGCATTATTTAACGCGCTTACAGCATCCACGTGTTGCGGCGGCAGGCGAGGCATAACGCCTCGAGCGAGTCATTTACAACGCGATAAGGCCAATTAGATTAGATCTGTGTAGATGACTGTCGTAACAGTCAGCTTTTGCCTGGCTCTGCCAAGTGAATTTCACTTGGATCACTGAGCTCTCTGGACAAACTCTTCGAGATATGAGTTTCTCTTTGCCTTTTCGATCTCGATATACGCATCTGATCTGTCTATATCCCAGCCCTACTTCAGTGTTAAGTGTATTTAGTCTTCGTTCTGCCGCAGAGAGCTGTTTCCATTGTCTTTTTACGCACTGCTCCTTCTTATTTTTTCGACGCAATGCTGGCCGTGTTCCCTGCTTTTTCTCTAGAGCTTAGAGGCTTTACATAAATTTCCGAGGGCTGCCTAATCAAATAAGGTTCCCCAGCGCCAGTTCATACACACTCACACACACACACATATTGCTTTCTATTGTCATTTTTGTTGAAGTTGCCAGGTCATTGGGATTGGGCAGGGTCAAAGGTTAATTTCTTTAGTAATATAAATAAGTGTGAAAATATTTGTATAAAAATAGCAATTTCTCAGAAAAAAGAATTTTTTGTATGTGCTAAGAAACCCAAATGGAATTTAAATGCATATCAAATTCAAATATGCCTAACCAGAACTAATATCCTATAAACATAAGAAATTTGAAACTTTTATATATTGTATATACTTTATATATACTAAATATTTTAAATATATATATATCATATATCATATCATTCAGTTCGAAACTTAAAAGTTTCTACTACCGAGAGCTATCACATTTGGCACACGTATTTTGTGCAGGGTATCTTCGAGTCGACTAGCGCGCTCTGATTTGCTGTTTATTTTTGCTCGCTGTCTCATGGCAAGCTGTGCCGAGTTATCGTAATTGCGCTGCAGGCAATTGAAATCGGCATTTTAAGTGAATGAAACTAAAATTGGCAATTATTCAGTGAATAAGTGCGCAACTTTAGACAGTAAATGAAATAGAATAGCCGTGTAGATATGTTCGTATATGTATGTAAGAAAGGCTTTTAGGCAACACTTACCTCGCATGTAGATGTAGGCGGTGCCACGCATATTGCGTCGGGTCAGCACAATTAGGTTGAGTACGTTGCCAATGATGCCCAGGGCGCAGATGATGGGCAGGATGATCCCATAGCAGTACTCGCGCAGTGCTTCGGTGCGGGGGTCCTCCACATCCTGCGAAACACCCAAAAAAAAAACAAGAAGAACGAGAAGAAAAGGATATCAAAAATTGTTTTAAGCGAACGAAACGAAGCCAATCTAAAGTAATAATGGTAATAGAATAAAAAATCAAACATGGGCACACTACTAGCGGCTATAACTGACTGCACAAGGCTCGCTCGCAATTCAGTAGCAATAAGTTACTGACATGTTGGAAATCACTAAAGCAAGGTTTCTACTTTATATATAAATATATTTTTAGCAAAATTGCTGCTCATGAAACGAATATGCCTTGTTTTCCCGTTTGCTGCGTAAGTCCAAGAACGGTAAACAAAATCGTCAAAGCTCATAAATCATGCTGCATTTACTTTCTTGCTCATGTACACAGTCCACTGCTCAGTCCATCTCTGTCGTGCTTGCAGTTATGCCTGTCGCATTGTTGCCCAGTTGGATGGGCTGCTACAGATAAAAATTCAATAGTCAACTTGACACTTTTATTTGCGACTTGTTATGCACACACACGTACGCACACACGCACACATGTATATATTACATTGGTCGTTCTTGTTCTATCTCATCTCTATGTCTATCTCGCTCTATCTTTTGCACGTCTACCACTAAGTGGGTTGGCATTTTCGTATTGTAAATATGTTTTGCATGCTTTTTAGCATGTTTGCTTTTGCTTTTGCTTTTGCTCTTTGTTATGTTTTCCTCTTATTGCTGTGTTCTTGTAGTTGTTGTTGTTGTTGTTGCTGGTGGTGCTGCTGTTGTTTCATTTTGGTTTTGTTACACCCTCTCTACACTGAGATAGACAGGCATCGCCAGTTCACTTGAGTTCGCCTTTTCTACAGCCTTGGGCGAAAGTTGTGCACAAAGCACCTTTTGAACGGCAACAACAGCAACAGCAACAACAACAGCATCTAGTGCAACAGCAGCAAACTTTTGCACGTGCTGTGCTATGAAATGAGTTATTTCGCGTTTGCCTTGAATGAGACTTTGTTCATAACGCACATAGCCTGCTCCCACTGTTAGATGGGGGAAAAAAAACACATACACAAGCACATGCGTATTGTGCTGTAAAAGTAGGCAACAGCTCGCAGCGCAGCTGCTCACAGCAGGAGCAGCCTCTATCCAACGCAAAGTATTGTTACTCAAAGAACAGTTTGAATTGAACCCAAAAAAAAAAAAAAACAGAAATATGAAATGCGAGAAAACCGAATATGATTTTAATTCGTGGAACTATTCGCCAGTTATAAAATAGCAAGAATTACAATTTTTTTAAAATAAATCTATAACATTTAATATTCTTTTCATTTTTAATTTTTTTAAAGTTAAAAAAAATTTTAAATTTATTTTTATGTTTATTATCCTTCTTTTATACTAATATTAAAGTGTTTTTAAGCAAGTTATTATTAAATAACAGGAAAAAGAAAAGCTTGTTTCAATTAAACTGAATACTTATATAAAAAATTAATATATAAAAAATATTTATTATTTGTAGAAAAATAATTTCATATAATTTTATGTAATTTAATATATTTTTTTTTTGATATACGTATATTTTTAATTCTTTAACAATTTTTTGTTTATCAATTTTATATTCTTTCTTTGCTCAATCAAAATATAACTCTCTATTCTTTGCTCAGATATCACTATATATATATTTCCATTTACAGTATATAATTCAATATATTTTTAAACACAGTTGTGCTCATGAAACTGCACCAAACTTAAGCTGAGTAAAAAGTTACTTTTCTCCTTGAATCTGCTATAACTATGATTAAACATACTAAAAGCTTAACGAAAGTGAAAGCCAAAGTACTTAAAGGAGCTTAAAAGCACTTGAAGGAAGTAAACTTTTCTTAATGCAGCTTTGTTCATTAAAATAGTAGTGCGACTGAGCATTAAATTTTAGTAATAAACACAATATTTTGCAAAAAGTTCTATGTGTATAAATAGTTGAAATGAAATTAATGATATTTTATAAAAATATATGTAATTTTTTCCCTTTCAGCAGCAAGATAATAATTAGAAATAAATAACGAAACGGAACGAACGATTTGCTGTCGCTTACTGCTGGGATTTGATGTGGTTATTATGCTAATTGTAGGATTGCCCCTCGCTTAGCTGCGAACAGATTTCACTTACCACATATAGGTCGTCGCGCAAGTCGTTGGCGAAAATGTGGGTGGCATTGGTGGCGGTGGTGGTGTCCAGGACTAGGTCATTGCTGCTGGTTAGATTCGCGCCCCAGATGACTGAGCAATAGGCGGGATCCTCTTCGGTGTTGTATAGCCTTGTTATCATAGTTTTGCTCTGACGATTTTTGAAGATTTTTTCCATATGTCTATCTGCCTCTATGTGTGTGTTTTTGTTGTTGGGGAGGGGGGGAGGTAGTGGGTGGGTGTGTGGGAGTGGCGGTGTGTGCTGGTATGTGTTAAGCCTTGAAGTATGCGCAGTTAGATTCTAGTTTAATTTGTGTAAGTAAAGAAAGCGAACAAAGGCGGCAAAGTCAAAGAAATTGCGTGTAAAAATATCTGGCGGGAACAAGCTCATGAATGAATGCGGGTCCTCTACCATGTCGAAGCTATGTAATTTAAATGTCGACGATGACAACAGCAACAAAAGCAACAACAACAACAGCAGCAACAACAATGACGACGACCCTCAACACCGGAACGGCAAAGCCATTGAGATGAAGAACGCAGATAACAGCAGCAACAACAATCGTCAGAGAGCGAAAGAGAACGAGAGAGAGAGTGAGAGGGAGAGCGACAGAGTCGAGCGGAAACGGAAGCATACACTTTGCTATAAAAACAAAAGCTGAAAGTGGATAGGGAGCTAGGAGCTCGCAGGAGCTCGCAGGAGCTGGCAGCTCGAAGCTGGAAGCATCCATACAAATCAGAGTATCAGCGCCGAATGCCCAAGACTCGTAACAGTTGACGCTTTGATAGCCATTGGCGCAAATCAAATCATTGCAAAAAAAAAGAAGAAACAATACAGAAACAAAATAGAAGCAAATTGTAAAGCAAACGTCGAGCTATAAAAATAAAATGCTGGAAATAATTGCGGCCTCTAAAATATGTTCAAATCGAATGCGAATCGTTTGCCAAGCGATGCCCCAAAGCAGTGGCTGTCCTACAAAAGGACGGAACAAACTAGTTATGCCCAGAGATGCGATAATCTGTGTGCCCAAGCTGGGGCGACAGATGAGAGGCAAGCGGGGACTTACGGAAGATAATATTTGACTTAATTGCTGTCATTAAGCCCCTGCGAAACTCTAGTCGAGGTCGGTTCGAAACGTATGGAATTGTTGGTATCCCATATCCATATCCATATCTCATATCCCTATTCCATATAAATATCCTTGTCCTATATTCGTATCCCATATCCATATCCATATCAAAATCTCTTATCTAAATCCTATATTCATGGCCCATATCTATATCCCGTATCCATAGCTCACATCTATATCCCAAATCCATATCCATATCTCATAGCCGTATCGCATATATCCATATCCCATGTCTATATCCCATAGCCATATCCACCGACATATCTATATCCATATCTCATATCCCTATTACATATCAATATCCATATCATATATCCTTATCCTATATTCGTATCCCATATCCATATCCATATCAAAATCTCTTATCCAAACCCTATATTCATGGCCCATATCTATATCCCGTATCCATATCTCACATCTATATCCCATATCCATATCAAAATCTAATATCCATAACCCATATGCATATCCTTTAGCCATTTTCAGAGCCATACCCATATCCATATCTTGTATCCATACCCTATTTAACGTATCTATATCCCATATCCATTTCTTATAGTTATTTTCATATCCATATCCATCTCTATATCTCATATCCGTATTCCTCATTAATATCCTTATCCCATATCCTTATCCCATATCCATATCCTATATTAAATTTCCATATCCACATCCAACTCCCTTATCCACCTTATATTCATATCCCATATCTATATCCCATATCCATATCCATATGCCATATCCATAACCCATAGCCATTCCCATATCCACATCCATACCCATATCCATATCCACATCCATACCCATACAAATATCTCATTTAACATACCTACATCCCATACCCATATACCGTATCCATATCCCATATCCATATCCAATATCAATATTCCATATCCATATTCCATTTCCATATCCCAAATACATATTCCATATCTATATCTCATATCGGTATCCCATAGCCATATCCACAGCCATGTCTGTCTCCATACCTCATATCCGTCTTCCAAATCAATATCTATATCCCATATCCATATCCCATATTCATATCCAATATCCATATCCTATTTCTATATTCCATAAACTAATTTGAGCTGAATGATTTGTGGTTGAAAGTTCGTAAGAAAGTCTCTATATCTACTTGAGTTTAATATTTGCGGAAATCTCTTCAAAGTCAATGCGAAATTCAGTTCAAGCCACTCCTGAAAAAGCCAAAAAATGTCGAAAAATCATGAAAACAGTTGTTGCTGTCGTTGTTGTTGTCAGTGTTGACAAGCGACAATCGTTGACTGAGCAGAGGAAAAAACGAGATGTTGAACTTGTTGAAGTTCTGCAGCTTATGAATAATGTATATTAATGGAAATTGAATTGAGTGCAATTAGAACATTGGATTAGTATACAGATATATATATATATATACATATATATGATACGTATGCTTACCTGGAATTACCTGGTGTAAGGCAGTGGCTCGCTTGAGCTGCCGCTGCAATCGCAGCCTGTTGAAAGTCTCTTCTATTGGGGGCGCTGCTTAGGTCTAACGAACTTTGGTGTTTGGCTCAGAGTTTTTTAGCACTTGTAGTGCTTGAGCAGATGTCGAGGCAGTTTCCGTTGTTGTTGGCTATGGCTATGGCTGTGGCTGTTGCTGATGACACATGTTGCATGCTGGTCAGAGGCTGCAATCAACACGCTGCAATAAAAATAATACGCTTAGCAAATGTTCATTTTGTGGCACACTCGCCTGACGAGGACACTTTATTTGTATTTTATTGTGCGTCAGGACGCCCTCAAAGTGTGGCGACACTTGAGTGGAGCGTGGGGCATGTGGCATGGTGCGAGGGGCAAGCGGGCGTTGGTGGCTGTTCGGTTAGCTTTCTGCAATTGGCAGTTGCGGCTGGGGTACGACACCTCATGTGTCATATATAAATGACGATGTCGCCGCGCAGCGCACGTACGAGCCAGCGTACGCGTCCCGAGGCCCTGGCAACAGGTGTGTTTAATATTCGCGCAGTCGACACGCTACACGCGCCTGCCAAGCCCACAGGCCGCAAGAGAGTGAGGCAGCCAGCACGCTAAGCGTTAAAATCAACGCTGACAGGCGACAGAGTTTCGTATAAGATATTTGATAAATTGCCCAACCAGAAGCCCGTGACGTTCAGCCAGTCACCCAGCCACCCAACCACCCAGCCAGGCATCAAGCAAGTTCCAGGCTAATATTCAATATATCATTATATCAATACATCTATATATATACATATGTATATGTATATAAGTAATCAGCACATTGCGTATTACATATTGATGGAAAATATCTGAGTATTCTAGCAAAAAGTTTAAGCTCGAAATTCTTCTACTGAATATCCGACTACAAAATACCCCATCTAATCTTATAGTGCTAATAAATCTAAGCTAAGGACTCAGCTATGCGTTCTAGCTAGCTAAGTTTATAGTTTAGGTAAATCTGATTATAGACTTAGAGCTTAAGGAATATATAAAAAGTTATATATATTTTGTAAACATATATAAAAATATTCAAATAAAATAGGCATAAGAAATTTTTTTTGTTATATTATACAATATATATATTATAAAAATATATATAAAATAAAAAAATTTATACCCATAAAAATAAAAAAATTAAAAAAAAAAATGAATAAAAAATTAAAAATATATATATAAATAAAAAGAGAAAAAAAAAATATATTTATATATATATATATATATATATATATATAAATAAATTGATATATATAAATAATTGATTTGCAAGCCATAGCTTGAGGTATACACATGTAACCTAGAGATGCCTCGTTTTCAATATGACTCATTTGGCTGATAAATACACAGACTATATGTATATTTCCCCATTATATATATTACTAAATATTTATTAAATTTGCTTGAAACTCTCTGAAGACCCATCTATAATCGAAATTCCTTAATAGAGAACAGAGCTCTTACGAGTTTTCTATACCCGTTCTCGAGGTGAAAAGGGTATGTTTGGAAGAGGACTCATCCTGTCTAAAGCAATAATTGAGACAGCAGCATAGATAATTTCCCAATCAGAGCTGACCGTGCAACGCCGCCCACTTTCAGCGTTTCTCCTAGAGGAGCAGGCAAAGCAGTCCCAGTGGTATCCTTAAGCTCTTAGTCCTTAATTATTTTGATTATAATTTTGCAGGTGCTGAACGTTAAATCGACTATAAAAAGTGAATTCGTTTGGCGCTGATCTATATCTATGCTCCAGCGTGGCTGCCACCTTATCCAAGCACTTGCAGCTTGCAGTTGTGGCGCGAATAAGTATGCAACACTTTAAGCCATTTGCATATGGCCCACATCACGCAGACGCCGTATGGTGGCTGCTGGCTGTGTAGCGTCTGGGGAGATTGAATGACACAAAACATGACACAAACTTAATTTCCCCAAGGCAAGCGCTGACGCCAACCCACTAAGCCCAACCGGGCGGACTAACTGCCCGAAAGAGTGACTGAATGAATCGCGGCGCGGCAACATCACCATGTGGCTGCCACTCGATAGGTGCGACTACCCCAACGCCAAACGGCAATGGCAATCGCACGCATCGACGGGTCAGCCTTGTCATATTGTAAAAATGTGTGGCATAAGTTATGCCAGCGATTATCATAATAATTTGCTAGCCTGGGATACGCTCGACACACACGAATGATTTGAGCGCGGCAAGGCCAGGCGGCTGGAGGCGCGGGGGCAGGTAAATATATAGATATATATATATTTGTCTATGTATCTGTATGTGTGTGTGGGCTACACTTGTCGTAGGCGTTGTTAGTTTTTGGGCTTTGGCCACACTGTTTGCTGAGCACTTACAGTTATTGCGGTCTAGTTTCGGGGCAAAAGTTTTCATTTTGTTAAATAAACAAGCTGCGAGAGCAACAGCAACAAAACATGGCCACGACCAAGCCCTGTTTGGGTCTATCGAAGTCAGTCTATCGATAATCGATAAACGATAACAATGCTGATCAATGCAAATAATCAACTCTTATATGGAATTTGACTTGTTTGTCATATATGAATGCAGAGTGAGAGAGGGAGAGAGAGAGAGAGAGAGAGAGTTGAGGTTGATAGACATAAAGCGAAGCTAAGCAAATCCTATACAGACTTTGCCTAGCTACAGCTCTACCCCCTATCTATCTCCTTCTCTCTCCAACTTCTGCTTATATATATGTGTCTGTGTGTGTGTATTTGGTCCCTGAGCTGGCATGATTAATGCCTTTGTTTATGTTTCCCGCGTCGCTTGTGTGTTGCGTGTGTGTTTTGCTTGGTTTTTGGTCTGTTTGCTGCGCCTGCCAGCCGAATGATATGTTTAACAAAAAAGTTTAACGCAAATTAAGTCAAACTGGCAGCGCTTAACGATGTGCGACATAGATGAATATCCATGGTGTGTGTGTGTGTGTGTGTGTGTGTGCCTGACAGCGGGTAGCCCCAGCTGTAGCTGGCCAATGTCCCCAAAAATTGTTGAACCGCCTTTAATTTACACACAAAATGAGCTGTGGACGGAACACAAAAGGACCGACAGGAAATAGCTCAGAGCCGAACATTCTCACGCTGCCAAAGCACAAATTAAGTTTGTACGGTAGCCAGATAGCCCGCCCGAAACTGGGCAAGGCGGAAAATCAGGAAACTCAAGTCAATAAATACCGCAGCAGCGAGTGGAAATGTTGACTTTAAGACAGACGCTTTAAGGCATCTGAATTACATGAACGAATGTATTTCTAATCATCGACTCGTGTCTTGTGCTTCAAACAGAAACATAAATCAGATTAGAGTCTATTGAAACGTCTATCTACGACTCTAATACAAACTCGATCTTCAGCTCGCACTGATAAGCATTGTTCAGGCCAGAAATCGGAGAAGCAACTTCAATTTTGAAATGTGCTTAAATAGACAAGCTACAAGGAAACTTGAGCCTCATAAATATATGCAGATATATACAGGTATATATATATATATAAATATATATATAATATATATATATATATATATATATATATATATATATATATATATATATATATATATACATATATATATAATATATAATATATATATATATATATATATATATATATACCTGCATATATTTATGAGGCTCAAGTTTCCTTGTAGCTTGTCTAATTAAGCACATTTCAAAATTGAAGTTCCTTCTCCGATATATATAAATATATATATATATATAAATATATATATATAAATATATATATATATATATATATATATATATATATATATATATATATACAGCACCTGCAATAAAAGCATTTCTGGCTTACCAGACATAGTGTATGCAGCTACGCCATGCCCCATGCCCTACGGATAGACGAACGGAAGGAAGGACAGACGAGCGGACGGGCCAACGACGGATAGACGAACGTAAGGACAGACGGATGAATAGACGGAGGAATGGACGAGGGGACCAATGGACGAACGGTTCATTCGACAGACGGACTGAAGTACGGACGGATGAACGTACGGGTGGACGCACGCATCGATAGATCAACCGAAGGACGGACGAACTGATGGAAGAACGGATGAATAGACCGATGGTGGGAGGAATAGAAGGACGAATGGAGGGGCGGGTTGATGCACGAACAGGCCGATGCATCGATGGACGGACGGACAGACAGTCGGACGAACAGTCGTGCAAACACACGAACAACGGACATGGCGCAAAACGAATATACTCTTCTCCCAACATGAACGAGTATTGAGAGCTTTTCATAAGTAGCGTAGAGTAGAAGAATTCAGTTCGACTTCAATGCTTGCTCTACTCGTTGTACTAAGAGAAGGATTTAAAAAGGTGTGAATATATCGATAACATTGACTGAATAGTTATTCAGGTTATCGATAACATCTGAATTTTGAAATGTTCAACAAGATTTGCCATTTTATAATAGATAAACTCAAGTTTGAGTGCTTTGAAATCGGAATTAAATAAACAGATTTTGATGACGCACGAGCTGAGGTTGAATGAGAATAGATAATGTAATAAATACGCTGAAACAAAGAGATAATCATATAGATATAATAATATATGGATATATATATATATATAGATGTATATGTAAATGTATTTACTCATATCAATTTGTCTGAGATACTTCTTTAGGTTATTTATTTTCTGCTCGTTTGGCTAAGCTATTTAGCAAGAGTAGAACTATATTTAAATATGGAATATTTAGCCGTTTTGTAATTATCATAGAGAACGTTTAACGTTTTAATGTATTCTGTAGAGCGAAGCAGTCAATATTTGCATAGCTATTGAACTAAGCTAAGCCCACGCGCACTTCAGTTCGTACTACGAATTTCTGTTTGCCAGCAAAGCTGTTGGAGCCTAATGCTAAGCACTATGAGCATATGAGTTGGGTGTCAGTGTGTGTGTGCCAGTGTGTGTGTGTGTGTGTGTGTGTGCCTGCCAGACCATTAAGTTTTTAATTTCTGTGCGGACTGCGACGAGGCGTCAACGAGTCGAGATGTGTGGGGCGTGTCTGTGGCTGTGACGCTATCGAGCCGAAAGATCTCGGCAAATATATATAGCTATATATAATATATATTCTATATATATAAAAGAGCAGCGGCAAATATGTTGTTTGTTGTTTACTTTTAATTACGCAATCGTTTTTTTTTTTATATTAATTTGCTCAAAGGTGTGGCAGCCAATTAAGCTTTTAATTAAAAATATAGAAATAAAACGCGTGCGGCCCGAAAGCAGGCGAAAGGCCAGACGAAGAGCGTTGCATACTTGCAGGCGCCAAGCAAATGAAAACTGAAAACAATTTCAAAGGAAAATCGTGAAAGAGCAGCGAAAAGCAAACTTAGATGGAAAACTTGCCTGGCACAACTTTTGCTGGCAAGGACGAGCCAACGCTGATAACACTCTGCGGCGAAATGGCTGCCCAGAACTGGGCGAAATACGCACGCCCGAGTGTGGCAGTGTCACAGTCTCGCACACTTGTTGTGCAGTGTAAATGGGCGAGTTTTTAATCGAAGGCTTATCGCAAAAGTCATCAGCAAGAGTCGTTCAGGGTCAGAGCGATTGTGGCGCGCGTGACACGCGTGACACGCGTGACACGCCAGGCAGCTCGATTTGTATGCAGAGCAGCAGCGCCAGCATTAACTAGAGCGCCGCAGCGGGGCAGTAGCTAGAGACTGTGCCACGAATTGTCCCGAGCCCAAAACTTATCAAACTTTGACTCAGCTGCGGCGCTGCCTCACGCCTTTGCATTAATTATTTATGAATTTATTTATATGGAGTGAGACAGATTTATTTGTTTCAATTGTTTAGAAATTAACTCGAGTTATTTATTAAATTCCAACCAAAGTCGCTCAAGCTGAAGAATAAATTTTAATACATTTTTTTTCTCTGTGATTTCAGCAAAATGAAAGATTTCTTTCAGTTTATGAAGCGTCGTCAATCGAGCTCGATTTGCACATTGTTGGCATTACTTTTTTCTGCTGGTCAGCAAAGTGCAACACACACAGACAGATGTATGTACGTATGCGTGTCTGTTGTGTCTCTGCTCGTAAATGACAATTATTGGCCTTGGCTTGATGAGGGCTGCTGCGTCGCTGCGTCGCTGCAGCGTGCAATTTGACAACTTTTGCCAACTGCTATCAGTGAACAGAGTTTGTGTGTGTGACAGAGATGGCACTCTATATATATATTTATATATATGTGTGTGTGTGTGTGAGAAAATTAGCTTTTATACGCTTTAGTTCTGCTTCTTGCTCTCACATATAGTTTGTTGTTTTGAGTGCAGAGCGAGGCGGGTTTTGGCTAAGCAACTCGAAGTTGCCATTTGCCATTGGCAACGTGACTTTTCTTGGCGCTTGCCACGCAACAGCAGCAGCAGCAGCAGCAGCAGCAGCATTGGTAGCAGCTGCCTGGCATTGTTAGACTGTTGGCTTGTTGGCTTGTTGGCTTTGCTGGTGGCATGGCAAAGCGCATAACTTGTAATAACGACCCCGACCCCGACCAGGACCGCACACACACAGAGCGAGTGTGAGCGAGAGGCAGCGCATCGAACACATGCCAACATGCAGATGCACTTAGAAATCAAGCGGCGTTTGAAGCTGGCTCGTGTAGTACGAACAAAACGCTGTTAAAAGTGCACTCGCCAAATGAGTGGGGCAGAGGGCGAGGGAGGGGCAAAACGAGAGATGTAAATGCAAATGTCAACTTACCACACGGCCTCCAATTTGGGCGGGCGTCAGCTCTAACGAAATTGTGAACACGTTGGCGACTTTTGTCTGTTGTTCTGCACTTGCTCAACAAACGAACAAACAAAAAAAAAAAATGGCAAAAAAAAACTTTTGCTTTTTGTTGTTCTCTTCGACTTCTTCTGGTTGGCAGTTAGATGCGCTGCTGTTTTGAGCCAGCTTAAAGTTTATTTGGCAGCATAGGTTACTCAGTTGGCAGTAATGTTTCTATGGGTATCGGTGGGTGGACTCGAGCTGCTTTACATGTAGAGCAAATCATTAATAACTGTCTCAGACTCAGTTAAACAAAGAACAAAAAAAAAGCATGAATATGAGCAGGCACACACTCAGGCACACACACACTCAGACACGCACACACTCAGACACACACACAAAGATTCACACACACACACTTACTCACAAGCCAAGTTCAGTGCATTGCATTTCCGTTGCCTACTTTTGAGCGCGCCAAGTCATTCGCGCTATTCGTCTGCTTACACATGCACAACACGTAACACACACACAAACACACACACACATACAAGCACACGCACACTACTGCATTCACTCACACTTTCAATATGCTTGATATTTGACACAGTAACAAATGCAAAATTTAACAGCAAAAAAAAACTTTTTTCTATTTCTTTTTCTTTTTCTTGTTTTATGCACTTTTTTTTACTTTTTTTGCACTTCAATTCTGCCAATTAAGAGTCATTCACTTGGCTGACAGCCTTCAAAAGTTAGCACAAAAAAAAAAAAAAACCAAAATAACGGAAACTTCAATTTTTGTTTGTGTGTTTTTTGAAGTTGATGCAGTGATGCGCCTTGCAGCTGGCTGTGGTTACTGCTGACCGTTGTCCATTCAAAAGTTGTCAGTTGCCTTGTTGTTGCTGGGGCTTCTGCTGCACGTCCATGTCGTTTGGTTGCTCGCTGGCAACTAACTCGAAGTCAGCCTGCGATGCGCCTCTTATCAGGCCACGCGCGTTCCACGCGAGGGATATTTTACAAGCGCTGTTATTCGCAAATTTCCCCAGCTGTAAAGCTGCTGTTAGCCAAAGGCCCGTTGCATTAGCCCAAATCGAAAGTTCTGCTCAACTGGGCTAAGGCCTGAAAATGCTTATATTTTTTATTAATTTTTTCTATCATTTATTTTTATATTTGTTTTGAAGTTTTTTTAATAAGAAATATCCTTTTTCTACATTGGAAAAATAAAAAATTATTTAAATAAATATTTTTAGAGAAATATTTTTTTTATTTATTGAAAAATAATAATTATATATATATATATACTTCTATAGAAATATTAATATAACTTTATGTTTATAATTTTTTTATATTTTCCAATTTATATTATTTTATAATACTTAATTCATTATTTCATTATCATTATTATCATTATTTTTAAAAATTATTATTAATTATTAATTATATATTTATATTTATAATATACCTATTATTCTTTTATTTAAATTTATTTTGAATTTTTCATACAACTATAATTATTTACTTATTAAAAATTTATAAATTGTTATTTATTCTTAAATATTTATAATTATTTGAAATTTATGTTCTTTATATTTATATATATATTATTTTTTTCAAATTTTTATTTATTCATATTCATATATTTCTGATTTATTTATAAATTTAACAATATTTAAATATTTATATTCATTTTAAGTTCTATTTATTTATATTTATTATTAATTTATATTTAAATTATTTATATTCATTTATAATATTTTTTTGAATTTTATATTTTTGATTTATTTATAAATTTATTAATTTATTATTTTATTTGTTTATTAATATTTATTTATAGTTTATTTAATTTTTTTTAGATTTTTTCATATGGCTATTAATTTTAAATTTAATTGGTTTCTATTAATATATATTATTATTTTTATACATTTCTGATTTAATTAAAAATTTATTAATATTTAATTATTTATTCATTTAAAATTCTATTTATATATATTTATATTTCTAATTTACTTATATTTATTTTCAATTATAAATCTTTTGCTATGAAAAACTCATTTGAAATAGCTAGAAAATTCTATACAAAAAATTATTATTAAAAAGTTTCCATTTTAATTATAACTTTTGAGGCTGCGTTAAGTCGTTTAGAATTGCATCGTTTGATGACTTAGCTTTCTAAACGATTTTCCTTATTTTTATCGCATTTTTCATTGTATCAAGAAACCAAAGAGGAATTTTAATTTAGCTTGCAACGGAGAACATAACAGTTTTTCACGATTTCAAAGCGCATAATTAAAATTAGTTGAAGCCAATAAAGAGTTAATATTTGTAGCCAGTAGAGGCTAACTTAGAGGGAGAGGTGAGGAGGGGGATGTAGGGCAGCATGGAAGGCTGGCAGCATGACTGACAGATACTCTACAGCCTTTGTGAAAATTAAAATTGATTTCATTTAACAACAGCTCAACTGCAGCTGAGACAAGAATACCTCAAAGGCCGGACTTGATGGAGGTCTGCTGGATGCAGCCCAGAAATCCTTGACGGCTTCTCGGCTCTGAAGCTTCCTTTTAGCTTGTTAAGCACAACTCTGATGCAGATATAGGCCTAGCCCTCTCCCTCTACATATATAAGACAACGTTTATAGGGTAAGCACTTGACTCGATTCTATAAGGCATGAAGTGGGCGCAGCGAGGCAAGATAATAAAGTGCTGCAAGTGGTCCACGGCTCTGGCCCAAAGTCAAAGTTAGAATTTAATTTCTAGTCGAGCAGTCTCATGATATCAGTGACTGTGATAAGCAGGTTACGCTGAGCTAAGACAACTTTGCCAGCAGCAGGACAGCTGGACAGCAGGACAAAATCAAAACATGAGCACCGCACGTCAATGGCAAAAAAGGGAGTTGATGCTGACAGTAAACTGGTATCAGATGCAGATGCTGCTGAATGAATGGCCTGGCCTCGCTGCTGTTGCCTGTTGCCTGTTGCCTGTTGGCCGTTGGAGCTGACGCCGTCTCAGGCTGTCAATGGTAACTGGCTGCAGGAGGCCAGCGTTTATAAGCTTTTCTGCTCAACTTCTCAGGTTGGGTAATCTGTGCTGTGCATCTTGAGCAGCTAATAGAAAATAAAAACCAGAAACGCAGGCAGGGAATGCAATGAAAGGCCTTAACTGATGATAGAATGCTCTGACTGTTTAAGCCGAAAGACATTCGAAATACGGCAAAGAGATTTATGTGGAGATTTGTGTGAAGTCCATGCTTTGATTTACCTTCAACAGCTTGCAGCGTGCAACGAATATGCTAGGAATTTGCATTCAATATTGATAACGGCCAAAGAGCAAAATTATTTCATTATTACAAAACTTCAACGATTCCTGCTGGCAGCAGCAGCTCAACATGTGTAAATGCCAAAGGTGGAATTTCATATTCCTTGTGGTCTTTGTGCAATTATAAAATACGTTAAATAGCGCAAAACATGAGCTTAGCCAGTAGCTAGTTGGCCTGGAAATTATCTATGGCATTTTTTGTGCTCGCTCGCTACGCATTTATGAGAAGCGCAAAGAGAGCTCCGCGTTGCTGCGAGACCAATCGATTAAAATCCAAGTGCCGTCTGAGCTGCACATTTCGTAACGGCTGCGGTGCTAAATAAGCCCCTGAGCAGCTACTGTTTCTGCCACTAAAGATCCGAGAAAAAGGTTCCCGACTGCTGATGCTGCTGCTGTTGGTGCTGCGGCTACTGCTGCTGTGGCTGTTGCTGCTGTGGCTACTGCTGCTGTGGCTGTTGCTGTTGCTGTTGCTGTTGCTGCCTTCGTTAGGGCAGATTGTTAGCTGAACAATTGCTAGCTACTAAGGCGATGGTGGCAAGCAAGTGGGTGGCCACTGGCACTGGCACTGGCACGGGCACTGGCACTGGCACTGGCACTGCCACAGTCAGAGTCACAGCCACAGTAACTGGGTCTAAGGCCCACTTGGATACATGCACTCAACTGGGCTGGCACTGAAATCTTATGCTGCTGCTGGCTGGCGTCGTCGAGCTCACTTCAGAACTATTTCAATAAGCGTTACGTTATGCACGCGCAGCGTCCTTCACCCTGTTTGCTCTCGACGGTCGACCGCGTCGAATGTCGTTCGTCGTTCGTCGTTGCACTGAGCTTTTGTCATCAGCTGTTGTCATCATTGGCGTCGCAGTCGTCATCGCGCTACCAGCGCTGCCTACATCCAATTTACTGAATTTCAACATTTTTACATTTTACGATTGTCATTTTGATTTTGGTTTCTATTCGGTGCCAATTGCCAGCTGCTCGATAATATTGTCCTTTTCATCGCTGGCAACATGGCTGCAGCTTCCGTTTCCGTAGTGTGTGCAGTGCACCGAGTAGCTTCGTTGATTGTCAACAGCCTTTGCCTGCCTGCCTGCCTGCCTGCCTGCCTGTTTGCCTGGGTGCCTGCCCAGCCTTTCTTTAGGTTTCTTTGACACAGAAGCAGTGACGCTGCTTATGCCCATGACATGTCAGGTAGCTCAGTCCGCCTTTCTGTGGCCAGTCAGCCGGTTGCTCGAGTCCTAGTTCCTAAGTCCGACACCTTGTCACAATCAGTCGACGCTGTCTACAACTGTTGCGACTTTAACTTTGATATTTCAGCCGTGAACACACACAGTCACAGTCGCTGGCCCAGGCCCAGGCCCAGGCACAAGCGCAGGCTGTGTAATGCAAACAACGCCATCGATATGTCTGGGCAAGTCAAACAAAAACCTAGCGTGGCAGCATTTTATTTTTTCCGCTTTCCTTTATATTCCCCGCGCTCAAAAAGTAGGTCAGTCGCAAAATTTTTACAGCACGGCGGTTACTTAAGAAGTGCGTGCAAAGCGCTTTTCCTGTGCGGGGGACTACCCTTAGAGCAGCAGCCAGCCGGAGTAATAAAGACCTGAACTTCGTTGACATTGAAAAAGTGTGCTTTTTGCACTACTTTTGTGTTTAATGGGATTTTGGCGAAAGTTGCGAAGCCACCCTCGCTGCCGCTATTGTTGATATTATTGCTGTTGTCTTTTGGCACTCCCCTTGTCAACGTACGTGTGAGTGTCTATCATCCGTTCCTTTGAATGCGCCGTCACTCTCAATTCCTATGCCGCTTTACTAACACTGGGGCTCACTCAGTTACCCGTTTTTCATTGCTCCACTTTGTGGACTAAGGGGCGTAACTAAAAACAGACAAAAAAATTGAAAAAAAAAATGGAAAAAAATCGAGGAATAAAATGGAAAATGCCTTGACGCAGCGTGTTCTATAATATTTCGAGAGTGACATAGATTTGTTCGGCAGGCAAGCAGCTATCCGTACACAATACTTGGAAATCAATAGTGTGTGCGGTGTATCATGTGTTTATCAGCATTGTCATCAGTCTCAGCCTCAGCCTTAGCCTGGGCCTCAGCCTCAGTTTTAGCCTCAGTTTTAGCCTCAGCCTCAGCCTCAGTTTCAGCCTCAGTTGCAGCCTCAGTTTTGGTTTCAGTTTTAGTCTCAGTTTTAGTTTCAGTTTAAGCCTCAGTTTCAGCCTCAGCCTCAGCCTTAACTTCGACCTCAGCTTCAGCCTCAACCTCAGCCTCAGCCTCAGCCTAAGCCCACCAGCATAAGACAATTGGATGACTTCTGATAGCTCATTTCATGAACACAAAGATGATTATTGTCAATTTTTCTGACATTTGTCAAAGATTCGTTGAAGTCGATGCCCTTTTTCATTTCAGCTCAATTAAGACACGAATTATGCCAGAGGACAACTCTAAAAGGTGCCATTGTCACAGCGATAAGCTGCAAAGTCTGTCAGCGGCAGCTAAATATTGTGGCTTCGCACTCAAATCATGGTTCGCGAGCTGAAAGCCAAAATGTTTTATCAGCTCAGCTCAGCTCAGCACACTTCGATTCATACCTGCCCGAACTGAAAATTTGAAAACTATTTTTATTT